AAAATGGTCTTGAAATTAGTTGACTTCCAAGTTAAATTAAACGCCTTCTGTAGAGTACCTACAAAGAACACAAGAGAACTATAATTGCATGCACTACTGCGTTCATGAAACAACTATCCAGCCTACGCCATCAGAAGGAGCACATTTTAAATGTCAATTACAAAACATCGCTAACTTAGGAAGAACAGAGGTGGTGTGTGTGTGTCCATTTTTTTTTCTAGACCCATATCGTGCTCCTGGTAACATCCACACCACAGTCCGTGGAAGTAGCTAAAGACCCTGAAGTCCTTGTTTAAACTATTTAAGGGAAAGCCCGCTTTATAGCGACGTGGAAAGAGGACCCAAGGTCTACACACGTGCCAGAGACCCTTCTGACGCAGGATCAAAGTAGACGCAAAGATGGGTTTGAATAAGTTCGAAAGAGGGCACGTTCCACACAGGTAAGACAATTCAGTAATGTATATAAACGAAAAAAGTCAAACTTGACAATGTAATCTAAAATATCTCTACACTGAAACCCCCACGGAGAGCAAAGTAGATGAGTGACCCACGCGGCACCTGTCACGTGGTGGGATGCCATTTCATTAAAAATACTCTGTTGATAACGTCTCTTTTTGCAAGTCCTCGGGATTCATTCAGTCTCTGCCTCGCCCCAAACATTGGGTAGATGTGGGGTATGAACTCTGTCTGCCCGAGTTTATAACAGGATTGCTTCTGCCAGATCTAAACTAAAGGCCACAAGAATAGCTGTTTACTACGGGAAGGCGCACACCTTTTCAAAGATAAAATGCAAGCCACGGGAAGCACGCAGACTTGGAGAGAGACGAATCCACGCACCCGCTACCTTCAAGGGCCCAACTTCCTAGGCAGCTCTTTCCTCAAAGTCAAAGCAGGAGCCACCGATCTTTGTGTAACCGTGGTAAACACACAGAGCAGGCATCTCCAGTGGCGGCAAAAGCCGGGCTCGGGCATCAACTACCTCCCCGTCCTGTTTTCATTCAAACCCTCAGGACAAGCGCAGCCGAGTCCATAGGTACGGTGGGACACGCTAGGGTCCCCAAGGAACCACAGCAAACCCCCACTTAGCCAGGTAACCCCCTGTCTCCCATATGCTCTGGGCTCTTCATGATCGGTGCCACTCACCTGCAGCCAGGGACACCTGGACGAGGAGGCAGCCGAGAAAGGTGGGCACAAGCGCCGCTAGGAGGCGCGGGAGCACGGGGATCGCCATGTCCTAGGGCTGGTGGCGGGAGGTCGCAAGACTTCGGTGGCGACGCAGAGGTTGCGCTGCGGAGGCGATCGGGGGGAGTGGGTGATGGGTACCGGCTCTACCCAGGCTGCCGGGGTCCGCGCGGGGCGCGTTATAAAGGGCAGCGCGGCCACGGGCGCCTCTCCACCCGGTGCCGCCTCCGCCGAGGCCGGCGACTCCCCGCCCCCCAGCCCCGGTCACTCATCTTGGCGGTGGGCGGCTCCCGGTCAATCCACACCCCTGCCCCGCCTCCTCCCATAGGAAACTCCGAGACCCCGAAAGGGGTGACTCACCCGTGATTCAACAGCGCCGTCGAGCACCCAGCTGCCCCTTCGGCGCAGGCGGATCCAGGTGCTGCGGATCCAGGCTGCCGGGCCGATCCCTGGATGAACCAGCCTTGGTGGCCTGCGAGGGAGAAAGGAGTCGTGTTGGAGGGACTTAAGTTGAAAGTTAAGGGAGCCTTACTTTCCCTTTGCTTTCCTTGAAGCACAAGATATATCAGGCTCACCGGATCATCCCCAGTAGACAAGTGCAGTTCCAAGACTCTGCCCGAGCACCCCGTGGTTAGCAGAACATACAGTCAGTCCCTGGTACGTTGTGCAGGGCGATGCAGTAAATGCACGTGTCTGTCATGGACAAATGCCCTGGATTAGGTCTAAAGGCCACTTGGCATCTCCCCCACCCTCACCCAGTCCGGATTCCGGTTCCCAGCTTCAGAGAGGGACTGAGGAGCTTGAAGCCTGGGAGAATCTGAGCTTGACGTCTGTAGTTAGGGGATTCCAGGAAGGATGGTTCTCACTCACGTTGAGGAAGACAGCTGTGGGTTTAGAGCGAATTCCTCCAAAATGCAGAGAAACAAAAAATGAAACTGAAAAATAAATGACATTGGGGCTTCCAAGTGTCTGTTTTCCTCTCTAGATGCTGGGAATGGACCCAGGAGGCCACCCGTGCCAAGCACACCTCTGTCACTGAGCCTAGCTGCAGCCAGGTGTCGCCTCGCAAGCTTTGGTTTTCGTCACTTGTTTCCCGCTTTCCTTTCCTAGGTTTCGCAGTGAAGCTGTTCGGGTCTGAGGACGTCACTGATCATACTGGTAGCATTTGGCCAACGTCCTGTCAAGAGATTCCTGATTGAGTATTCAACTTATTCCTACCTTTAGAGCAGTGCTTCTCAACCTTCCTGACACTGACCCTTTAATACACTTCCTCAGGTTGTGCTGACCCCCACCATAAAATTATTTTCATAAATGCAGTTTGCTACTGTTATTAATTGTAATGTAAATATCTGTGTTTTCACAGGCGGCCCCTTGAAAGGGTCTTTCAATCCCCGCAGGAGTTGCGAACCACAGGTTGAGAAACACTGCTTCCTACATTTTTTTTTCCACTTCCTTCAGTAAAGTCAAGCTCAGGTCCACCTTGTAGGCTCTGAGAAGTGTAAAAAGGCACTAAACTGTCGTCACACTTACAGTGACTTTGATTAGGCTTCGCGATTATGTCTGAGAACAACAGACAGGGCAGAACCTCCTCGACATCCTTTTACAATACCAACTGTGCGGCCAGCCGCTCCTTGTGGACTCACTGGCCTAACGGCACAACGTGACGCTATCTGGTCCCTTACGCCAGGAGCTTTCCCTCTTGCCTTCTACTCCTGACCGAGCAAAGAAAGATTGCATCAAGAAAACAGTTCAGAGAGTGATCAATTTTTCCATTCACAGACACTTGCAGTTTGGGGAACCTATTGTTTGTCAGCAGAAATATCCTGTTGGCTATTCCCTAAAACACACATGCATGAAGACACGTAGAAAGCGCGATTTCCTTTTGCATAACCAGTGGTGAAATGCGGCTGATGAGGAGTCTGCAAATGACGGGGACACGCTCTCAGCCCTTCCTGTGCACGTTTGTAGAGCATGCTCCCAGCTTCACCAATTTATCAAGCACTTGACATAGTTTCAGTTGTGCACTCCCACGTCAGTCTACCCCATTCAAGCTTTTCTCAGCCGGTGGGGGAGTCACATATTCCCCCTTTAGCCCTTAGTGCAAGTTACCAGCTCTTAGGAGGTGCCTCGCCTGTTTGAATCAATGAAGATTATTATGCAGCCATGCACACAGCTGAAGGTTTTAATTAACATTCAAGAGACTCACTCCGTCCCTGAAGTTTTTCTGTCTAGGAGCCAGGCAGTGAGCCGGTCGGTTGGGTGAGAAAACGCAAATCTATGTGAATCCAAAGGCACCGGCACCGCTCCGTTGTTCCGCGCTGTTCCACAGCCGGCCCTTTCTGGCTCCCAGGACTTCCAACTGGAGGAGAGGTAGTTTCAGCACAGAACGAAGAAGTTTGGGAGCTATTCTTTTTTCTAGCAGCCTACATTCTAGGGTGATTCAGAATCTGCCTAGTCATGGGTTGTGCTGGGACTGTGGATAGACAGGCTTAATGGCTGTTTAGCATAATTTCCCCAAAACGTCTGTCTTCCTAGGGAAGGGACAGGTTAAGATTTATGACAAAAGGTAAAATTAGAGTAATTTAGAAAAAAAAACAACAATGGTAATATGCATGGGAGAAGGGGAAAAGAGCAATTTAAACTCTCCTCAATGCAGGTAAAAGGCAAAATGTGAGGGAAAAAAAAAAAAACAGGGAATTCAGAGTTGGTGAGAACACAGAGTTCCGAGTGGGGGAGAAAAAGTGACTCAGCAAAACCAAAAAAACATCTGGCAGGGTTAGTCATGGAGAAATTGCCAGCTGTGGCTGTGGATTTTGTGAAAATAATTATACACTATCCAACAGTTTATGTTTCTACCAAAATTAGTTGAAATCCTGTGCGATAAGAATCTGCTCCCTTGCCTGTCCAACCTGCTTCTGCTCACCAGCCTGGCCGCTCACCAGGCCAGTCATTACACAGCACTGTTTTTTTTTTTTAATTATTCAGTTGGTTAGTTTTGAGACAAGTGATCATTAGATAGCCCTGGCTAGTCTGGAACTAGTATAGACCAGACTGGCCTCCAACTCACAGAGATCTACCCACCTTTGCCTCCTGAGTGCTGGGATTTAAGGCACCTGGCCAAAAAAAAGAACAAACAATAAAACCCCACAATTTTAGAGAAACATCTTCAGTCTAAGTATTGTTTTTTTTTTATTTTCAAACTCAAGGTTTAGTAGATTGCCTATTAAACACGCTTTCATGGTGATCAATAGTTAACATTTTATTGTGCACATGTAATGATGATAAATTACAAAAGGATCACAGCTAAGGTCTTAGTAACAAAATCCGTTGAGAAGAAACCTTTAACCTGTACTTTTATTGATACAACACCATCTGGCTTAAAGTTTTGTAGGCTAGCCCTTTCTGCGAGAAAGCTTCAATCCTTCATTTCTGAGACTTCTGAATGTGATATATTGAAATCATTCCACAGATCTCAAATGCCGAGCAGCTGCTGAATTCTGGGCTAGAATGTCCGGAATAAAACAAGAAGTCCCTCTTCTGTGAAATAGATCACCTTTCCCACTTGGGTCAAGATTTTAATGGTATGAATGCTTTTCTGTCAGCAGATGGGCAAAAGAGAAAACACTTTCAATAGTGTTGTTTATTGATAAACTTTCTCCTATTTCCTCCCAAGCAAAAAGATTTAAATAACCTGCCATGGTCAGTCTTTCTAACAGGCATTTTAAAAAGATTTGCTTTATTTCTTAAGAAGTGCACGGGTGCTCGCATGCGCATGCATGAGTTCAGGTTCCGGTTCCTGTGGAGGCCAGGAAGACAGAGCTGGATGTCTTAGAGACGGTGTTGCAGATGGTTGGAAGCCCAGCTCAGGACTTCTGCAAGAACAGTAAGTACATCCTCTTCACCACTGAGCCGTCGTCCCAGCTCCAAACAGGTGCCCCTCACTCGGAAAATTACCTACGGGTTTGAAAATTCCTTGAGGAAGTGAAACGAATGAATGAAATAACCGGCTTGAAAGTGCGTTTAACCTTGTTTGTATATTTCCTTGGTGACATTTCCCAATAGCCTAGTTCCCTGGTGTTCTATGTTTTGAAGTCTATCCAGTCACTTTTGCCTTTGATGTTGCTGCTTCATCTTATCCTGAGTCAAGAGTTCAAGGGAAACCTTCAAGGCAGAGAGTAACTCTCTAATAACTGAAGAATATATATATATGTGTGTGTGTGTGTGTGTGTGTGTGTGTGTGTGTGTGTATTACAGTACCATTGGTAACATTTAATTGGTTGTAATTATCATTTTAAGTCTTTATCGTTTAACTTAGCACATTGTAACAGCACACAGAATGGCTGTTATTCTCTACCATTAGGGGAATAGCAGGAAGCTATAGTTAGTATATATATCTCTCTCTCTTGCCTCCTCGCAAATTCCTAGGTAGAAATCCTAATCCTCTATGTCATGATTAAGAAGTGGGACCATTGATAGATAAATAAGTCAGGGGTGGAGCTCTCATGAATGGGATTAGTGCCCTATTAAAGGATTCTGTAGAGCTCTCCCTTCCTTTCCTCCAAGTAAAGACACAAGGAAAAGATGAGCCATGAGTAAACCAGGAAACTGAATCAGGAAGCCAGTCTTTGCTAGGCACCATATCTATCAGAATCCTAATCTTGAATCTATGGATATGCAGGACCACAAGACATAAATTCTGTTGTAAAGTCATTCAAAATATAGTACTGTTGTTGTGAGTCAGAGCTGTCTAAAAAGATGCAGGCCCTATGCTACAGAGGGTGTTCGGGGTAGCATGACTGTGAACGGTTTCTCAGAATTTGCTAACTTTTATTATTCAACAGGCCATGTGGCAAGCCTTAAGCTTGGACCTATGTTTTAAGAAAAGCATTTATTCACTTCCTACCACTAGGGATTAATCAAGATCCTGGTTTGCATAACTTAACAAATATTTATTGAGAGATTACCACATATGGGACAATATACCAGGAACTATGTTCAAGTCTGTTTTGGAAAATAGCCTATACGTTCGTTAGTCAGGGAGAAAAGGCGAATACAGAACCCTTACAAGGAAAGAGCAGAGCTGAGGTCTGCGCCACATTGCTGTGTCTCACTAGTAGACTGAGAGCATGCTGGGAGACGGCTTTAGCTTTGGTAACCCACAGGCTTCCCGGCACACGGCAGGCTCCCATGTCCTTAAAGCATTGTTCACATCATAAAAGCTGCTCAGGACCCTCTGGAGAACTCTTTTCCACCCAGGTCATTAGAGAAAGTTCTTCGAAGGAAAGCGGCGTTTGGGCTATATCTTCGTCCACTTGGGCTACTCTAAGAAAATACCTTAGTGCTCACATGGCAGCCTATACACAAGAAGGAGAGGAGGAAGGGGGGGGACAGGGAGTGGGGGGAGGGAACAGGACGGACAGAAGGAAGATGGGGAAACACCCTCAGACTGTATAATTTACAACAACAGAAATCCCAGTGCCAGAGGCTCAGAAGGCCAGCCGTGAAGATGAAAGTGCCAGCCCATTCAGGGTTTTTCAAAGGCTTCGTCTGGGCTTCACAGATGGCGACTTGTGTCCTCACAGAGCAGGGGAGGACAAATAAACCACCGCTCCCTCTCCCTGCCTTTTCATAAGGGCATTGGCTCTTTATATAACTCATGAGAACAAGACCTTTTGACTTAATCCTATCCAGAACCGCGCCCCCCCCCACACCTCCCATTGATACTATTGCACCCTACACGGAATCCATGAATTTTCACCAACATTCAGATCATGGTTAGCTGGAGAACAGAGGAAGAGCAGAGCTGGGGACAGAGGACTGAGGTCTGTGGGCAGAGGGGTGTGGGTCAGGTTTGGGAATAGGAATCCTGTAGATGCGACAACTGTCTCCACATTAAAGCCCCAGTGCAAAGAGACTGGTGTCACCAGGCTATCCCAGAGGAAGCTCACTCTTCTGGTTATAAAGTGTCAGCAGAATTGAGAATTGAAGAACTGAGTTGAGGTCACATAAAAACAAACAAACAAACAAACAAACAGAACAGAGCCTCCAGCCTACACAGCGGCAGGACATCAGCCGAAAGGACAGTAAGAAACCATGAAAGAAGGAGTGGTGGGGTCTAGTGATTGACATGAGTGGGACAGGGAGAGCGAGGGGCAGGTTTGGGGACATAGGAAGGAATCACCACAGGCAAGACCACACAAAGGTGGGCAGCTTAGATGAACTTAGAGATGCCGAAGCCGAGGGACCCCAGGACTGCTAGCATAGAGTGGGAAGTGGGCAAGAAGCCGGAGGGAGAAATGGGAAGCCATGCTGGACAAAGTCTCCTAGAAGCATCTAAAGTGGTAGCAACCCTGAAACAACTAGCAGGAGCTGCTCAATCTGATGTAAAGAAGCACGTTACAGTTTATGAGCCCGGGAAGCATTAGAACTGATGAAACTAAGGACTGGAGAGATGGCTCAGCGGTTAAGAGCACTGCCTGCTCGTCCAAAGGTCCTGAGTTCAATTCCCAGCAATCACACGGTGGCTCAAAACCATCTGTAATGGGGTCTGGTATATTCTTCTGGCCTGTAGGCATGCAGACAGGCAAAACACTATATACTTAATAAATAAATAAATCTTTTTTTTTTTTTTTGGTTTTTAGAGACAGGGTTTCTCTGTACTTTGGAGCCTGTCCTGGAACTCCCTTTGTAGACCAGGCTGGCCTTGAACTCACAGAGATCTGCCTGCCTCTGCCTCCCGAGTGCTGGGATTGAAGGCGTGCGCCACCACCGCCCGGCCTAAATAAATAAATCTTTTTTTAATATTTATTTATTTATTAGGTATACAATATTCTGTCTGTGTGTATGCCGGCAGGCCAGAAGAAGGCATCAGACCCCATTACAGATGGTTGTGAGCCACCATGTGGTTGCTGGGAATTGAACTCAGGACCTTTGGAAGAGCAGGCAATGCTCTTAACCTCTGAGCCATCTCTCCAGCCCATAAATAAAGCTTAAAAAAAAAAAAAGGACCAATGGAATCTTCTCCCACGTCTCCTTTAGTCAGTTTCTGTGTTGCAGTGCCTAGAAATAAGTCATCAATAGCCCAGTCTCACATCCTCTTGGTTTTGGCACCCTGGGATACAATCACCAGTACTACTGAAGAAGTCTAGTTGTCCCTGATTGAGGCAGGAACTGCTCCTCTGGCAATGTTGCCAGAGGAATGTACGTGACCTATCTTGGAGTCAGAGAGTGGGTCTGAGGCTAGAAGAACAGGTTGGTAGAGTTACGGGGCAGATGGCGCATTTGTGGCTTTCCTGAGGTTATGAGAAAAGACCCTGGCAAACAGTGAGTTAAAGGTAAAGGATTATTTTCTTATAGTTCAGAGGCAGAGGTGTCCATTGTGCTGGGGAAAGCAAAGGAGCAGGAAGGAGTATGCAGTTGGACTAGCAGTTAGGAATCAGAGAGATGGAATTTCATCCATTCACAGGAAGCAGACAGTGGGAGCAGGAAGTTGGGTGAGGCTACAAATCCTCAAGGCGCATCCTCAGTGATATACTTCCTCCAGCAAGGGTCTTAGGATTCCATAGCCCTGTACACAGTACTGCCAACTGGGGACCAGATGTCCTAACACATGAGCCTATGGGGACACTTCTCACTCAGACCCTCACAGAAAGGAACAAGAGCTACTGCTGGGCCTACAACAAAGAAGTCTTTGGTGTGTGGCTGAAGGAGGAAGGTGGCCTGAGAGACTATGGAGGACTATCCAGAGATATGGAAAAGGACAGGAGATTAAAGATTGCAGAAAGAGAAGACCATGAAACTTAAAATGGCAAAAATCCAGTTGTATGTGAGGTTTTAACAGCTACTAAAGGACACAGCCACAAAGGATAAATTCACATGAATCATGTCAAGTTTCTCACGTCTTTGGATTATCAAGAAAGGAAGCTACTGCTGACTTGAGAGATACATATCAGTGATTCAGACAAATTTCCCAAATTTTTTTGATTTTTTTTATCATCAAGGTTACTCATGGTGTCCGTCTAGCCCTGACCTAAGTAAGCCTCATTCATCTAGAAATTTGCCTTTATCAGTACTTTAAAGCCTAGAAACATGGTTTGGTGTGAAATTATTTCTTGTGAGACATGAATAATAGTCTGCTCACCACAGATAGGGAACTAGTGACAGATCAAAGTACCAATACTACCAAAGTCCAATTTGGTAACAAATGAGCTTATTTTTTTTTTTTTTTATGAAAGTATGGGTGAAGAGTTTCTTACAGAAGTAAGGATGACTTAAAGGCAGCTTTATCACTAAAGCCCACCCTAGCCTGAAGGAAGACTCAGAAGCTGGGGCCTTGAAGCTCTCATCATAACTTGTAGCCAACTTGACTGGTGGGAGAGTCTCTCCTCCTCAGCCACCCCATCTCTTCTGTTTCTACAACCATTGGGAAAATGGAGCTTTGTGAGTTTGATAAGTTTCAGGGACTTCCTGAGACTTCTGAGTTGTTTATTTCTAAGTCTTAAATAGTCTACCTTAAGGGCAGGCAGAGCTCTGTGAGTTCAAGGCCATTCTAGTCTACTGAGTGAGCTGCAGGACAGCCACACAATGAAATCCTGTCTCAGAAAAAACAAAACAAACAACTCAAAAACATTCAAGGTATTGGAGACTGGAGACATGGCTCAGCAGTTAAGAGTACTTCTCTCTCTCTCTCTCTCTCTCTCTCTCTCTCTCTCTCTCTTTCTTTCTCTCTCTCTCACACACACAGACACAAACACACACACTTTCCTGAGTATTTATGAACTTCCTGCAGGATGAAATTTTTTAGTTCAGAGGAAATCGCTATACAACTCTCAAATGCTCAGATTCTACCAGTAGGGCTCAGGCAATAATGAATAAAGAGGTCAGACATGGTTACAATGGTCTCCATCATGGGCAGAATCATCTCAGAATCTAGGAACTCTACAAAGAACGCTGTTCTTTTATTTCTTCAGTGACATCATGTTACCAGTGGAAGAGCAGCTGATCAGGAAACTCAGAGTGAATCCCAGGACCAAGCTACGATCTTCCTGCCCATTGAAAATGGCCAGAAAATACCATGTATTAGCCACTTAGTATTAACTCAGTTAGTCTTTATAGGAATCCCATTTGACACAGAGAGAAATTTTCATTTTATAGATGGGTTAGCTGAAGCCCAAGATGGCTGACCAAGTTGTTTTGATGTTGCACCTATATTGGAGCTCCAGGATAGCACTTCATGACCACAGTGCTCACTACCCGCCTCGCTGAGTGTGTGACAACTCACTCAGAAGCACTGTAAAAACTGCAGCAATGGATTCAAGTCTATTTCTTTTCCACCCTCAATGTCTCCTACCTTGTGACGCCAAAACTCTCTGGACTTCCTGGCTTTCGAATATGGGGATTTTCCAAAAGAAAACCAAGCCAAACCTGCCCTTGGTCAAGAAGAAAGGGCTCTTTCTTTTGCTTTGTTTCCAGCTTATTTTGTTCTTCTATTTATGCATTCAAGTTGCATTCCTACCCGGAACAGAGAAGACAAAGAACTTGTACCTGAAAATGGCTCATTTGCCCTGGGAACATGGCATCAATGCCCCCCCAGCTGTGTCTATTATTCATTGAGAAATATGGCTCATGATTTCAGCTAATACCCTGGGGTAGAAAGGCCCTTCAGACTTGCTGGTTGAGTTTCTGAGTATGTTTGATCGCTCACTTCCACATATCATCCTGACATTCCACATCGCTCCTCTTACCCGTCACTTCGTGTCTATTTATCATCATCGTGACGCCACCACCCTGGCTCAAGATAGGACGTGTGATGTGGTCACCTGCATGTGCTTTGCTCTGTTTGTTTAAGTGGTTCCTCCTTACCCAAGCTCTGGAGGGAGTCTCCCCAGGTCTGTCACTTTCTCCTATGAGATGTCCAGTAGCCCCCACTACTGACCTGTTTTCATAAACCTAGTCTAGTCTTCCTGGTTATGACCTCAGAGCCTGCCTCTGGGACAGGTTGAAGGTTTTTTTTTTTAATCCTGCCCGTGTGTGTGTGTGTGTGTGTGTGTGTGTGTGTGTGTGTAGGAGGTAGAGAGAGTCTGTCCCACATGTGTGTGGGTACCTGTAGAGGAAAGGTGTTGGATACTCTAGGGGTAACAGATTGTTGCGAGCCACCAGATGTGAGCCCTGGGAACCGAACCCTTGGAAGAGCAATGCTCACTCTTACCTAGTCAGCCACCTCTCCGGCCCCATGGAAAGGTTGGACAGCTCTGCTTCCTGGGTGTCAGGCCACCCTGTGCTCTTGCTCTTGTTCTGCCACCCGTAGAGCAGTCTAAGAAAAAAATGCCGTTGGTGTCTGCAGAGCCCATGGCTGACTGAGCCTGAGCACGTGTTCTTTTTCTCCCTCCCCTCTGAGGCACTTGGGCTTTTAGTAGGCAGGTTCCTGACATTATTAAGGGCATTGACAGGAGAACAAATCTGCCCGGAGGCAGAATGAGGAGAAGATTTAAAGGACAAAAAAGAAAATCTTAACTTTATGATCATGAGGCCTATGGAGTCTGGATTAAAACAAATCAAACAGCTACAGTAAATCTCTAAACACCCCAAGAAGAGATCAAAGAAAACTGGACGGTAGATGAGAGAAAGTCATCTGCCTGCCTTCATAGGTGATATGTTATACCGCAGATTCTCGCGTCCCAGCACCTTTGAGTCTAGTGAGGAGGGACAGTTGATCACGGCCTCCACCATGATGGGTGATGAAGACAGCCGGTGTGTCTAAGAGCACAAGTGTGGGTCTATCACAGAGAAACCCACACAGTCTAAAACACCCACGGGAATGGCTTCCTCCAACCTGGGTCAGCTCCTGCCTCTGCCTCTTTTCCTAACAGCTGTGGCACCCCTGGTAGCACTGGCTTGCTCCTGGCCACCTTCATATTTTGCGCTACCTTCCCACACGGTTCCAGGGTTTGCTTGTAATTGCTGTGGAGGAATGTTCTGGTCTTGGCCTCCTTCTGTGCCTGTGACCTGTTGGGCAGGATACTAAAATTCACTTTAGTCAGCATTTCAAAGAAATGATTACAAGTTAGACATTTACCACAGTTCATCCGGGAGCAAAGAACACTGAGTTATGAGGTCATGCAAAGTAGTCGAGTTGTCAAGATTGAGTGCAGATATGGAAAAGAACAGCTGCTCTTGACACTAAGGGAGAGAAGTGTGTGTGTGTGTGTGTGTGTGTGTGTGTGTGTGTGTGTGTGTGTACTGTCTCCTAACCATTTAATTTCTCAGAGTTTAAGCTTCTCTGTACTAGGGAACATGGGACAAGGGCTTTGATTTTGTACTCTGTGCTCTGCTACTTAAAGCCTTGATTCTCTGGGTCAGAACTCAGTTTCACGGCTGACCTGTGCTAATTGTATCAAGTAATGACTAAGCCCAAGTTTATCTTAAAATTTTAGTTGCTGTCGTTATGTTTAATGATTATGATTAATAGTTCCTCTGAACACACCTTCTGAAGTGACTTGTTGAAAGTATTCAGGTGCAGCGTGGGTCTGAGAATTGACAGGCAGCTTGGCCTCTTCATTTCTTCTCATTGCAGTTAACTCAGACACGAGGACCATTTGCCTGTGGGTCTGGATGTCCTATATCAGTGCTGGCACATGCAGGAATTATGGTTACGTGGTCTTACTATGGTCCTCTAGGACTGAGACTCAGTACTGTCCCCAATCCTGTGAGGTCTCTATTAGTTAGCTCTGGGCAGACCACTCAAGTGGGTACCCTACACATAAAGGGACCCGAGGCTCCACCCCTGTTCATCAGTACCAGCACTTTGCATTGTAAGCAGCTTACCATGCTGTTCTGAGAAAGGGCCTTGGGGCTGAGAGAACTTGAGAGGTGCAGGCCAGAGAGGGAGGCGGCAAGCAATTGTCTGGGACTATCCCTGCGCAGGATCCCTGCAGGCAAACGCACTGCTTTCTCTCTTCCATCACCAACTTCCTCCAGCCTTGCAACTCTTCTATTCTCTTGCTGACAGTAGACGGCCTGGTGAAGTTTCCTCAGCAGTAGGCATCCTCCGTTCCCACCTTCATGAAGCGCTGCTGACTTCGCCTGGCCAATCCATAAACAGGTCACTCTTTCATCAGAATTGATAAGGTGTGTCTGGGCCACTCATGTTTAGTCATTAATAACACTCTCAATGTTTGATTTATGGCTCATGTAAGCCCTGGGAAGCAGATACTCCAACTACCCTCATTTTCCCCTTGAGAAAACTGTGGATTGCCAAGACTAACGCCAACTGCCCGGGATCAGGGGCTGGGCTGGATAAAGCTTCTGCTCGCAACAGTCTGGCCTTAGAGTGTGTGAGCCTGAGCCTCCCACCCCACCACAGACTGCTAGCATCTGTGCCTAAGCTCCTGAAAAGCACCTCGCAGGAGAATGTTCCGCAGGGCACCCCAAGTTCCGCAGGGCACCCCGAGTCCCGCAGAGCCTAGGATGAGGGCAGAACCACGACTCTAGAGCGCTGTGACACATTCATGACACATACTGAAGAAGAGTGTTGCTGAGGCCTGGGGAAAGCCTTCGGCTTCGTGGGGAAGCATTTTTCCTTCCAATCTCATCAGGCTAAAAGGATTTATATATTAAAGTGATGACTCAGACTTAGAAAACTAGTAAAACTAGTAAAAGTGCCTTTGTTAAAGGAAAAAAAACTGTGCTGGCTTCAAGTGCTCATGGCTCATGGGAGACAGGGAAAATTTTAAACCCCTTTTCATTTTATTCTATTGTTCTCTAATTGTCTATTTCCCCCCAAAGGTGAATTCAGCTTTGGCTCTTTTGTTAACTCCAAAGGCGTTAAGGTTGACATAGTGTTCAATTAACACTGAGGGAGGGTGGAGGAGGGATGCTCCCGTAAAGTAGATCCGCCCTTTCCCGCACCTGCTCAACTGGCCCAGCCACTTCGGTCAACAAAACTTGTCAAAGAAGCAAACAAGCCCCCAGTCCACCCCACCCTCAAGTTCATTTCTCAAACACTCCTTTGAGTGATGTGTGGTATTTTGACTTGGCTGCGTGAGCCAACGACAATAGCTGGTTTTATTATGCAACGCCTAAAACTTCACTGATGACTTCAGGTGCTGAAAGCAACAAAAATCCTCACTGTATATTACAATTACAAAGCAGTTTCTGACGGACGTACATCAGGTGGGGTTCTTTTCTAAACAAATTCCCCCAGAATGAGGCAGCAGGACCGTGGGATGCTGGGGTTAGGAGGTCAGCCCTGGACAAGCATAAAGGAGACCGGAGAGGCAGACTGGTATCTCAGGTGACCCCTCCGAGTTCCCCATTGCAAATCTCCAGGAGGTGGAGGGCTAGGGAGATCTCGGCAGGACTACGATGGTCCTGCTGTGCTTTCTGGAAACAAATGGCTCGAGAGCTCTGTACAAAACGCCACTTGATATCCCACATCCTGGAGGAAAGTGGAGACACCCAGCTGCTTACATTCCTGCTTATGCTTTGAAAATGCATAATCTGTCTTTGTGTGTAAAAAAAACTTTTCAAAGCAAATTGGTATTCCAAGAAGCAAATTTTCTACACCCCAAATGGCTAGATTTGGATGTGACTCATTCCCTCTTGTGAAATAGAGTGTGTCTGTGCCCTAAGATCCAGCAGCAGCACCCTAGGAATGCAGTTCTGTACAGAAGAGGTAAATACATGCGTGGAGTGAATGGAGCCCTTTTGTCAACCATGTGAACACTTTTGTTTTTAAAGAAAAGGGTTGGCCAAGAGTTTATCAAGTGTATATTTTAAAATTATTAATAGGTCAGAAATACATTATAGTACTGGGTTAAATTACACAGGTACTTTTTATAAAGCATTACTCTAAGAGAAGAAAATCAGATGCCAATGCAAAAAAGATATCCTGGTCTCTATTCTCTGCCTTGTTCTGGGTGGGAAAAGCCAGACTGTGAGGCCTCTGTGGTTGAGAACCGGAAGGAGGCTCTTCAGGGCCCTGCAGAGGCTGGAAGCCTGTCTTGCACTGTCTGGCTGTTCTGAATCCTGAAGGCACTCTATGAGATAAAGGTTCTCCCATGATGGCCGGAGAACAGCAGAGATGCCTCAGCCCAGCTTCCTGTGGCCCCAACCAGTGTCCACCCCTCCTCCTATAGAGGAACTCTCAGGTCTCTGGTAACAGTGTCTGGATTTGAAGTTGCCTAGATGCACCACTGCTGCCTTGGTGAGGGAAGAGACCGTTTTTTAAAGACCATGTCATGTTTACAACACCAGACACCCAGCTGGTACACCACAGATGTTTGTTGAAGTGAAGAGAATAGACCAGAATCTAGAAGAAAATGTAATTGGTTTTGTGGTATTATCTCTATTAGTGGAGCAGTTGTGTCCTTATGGCACACACGTGTGCCTCAGAACTCGGTGAGGAGAGGCCAGTCTTTAACAAAGGATGATGGAAAACTAGGTATCCACACACTGAAGATTAAACTCAATCCATGGCCCATGCACCGGATAAAAACTTAACAAAGTCTGAATATCAGAGCAAAAACAATGTAAGAGAGGAACATGGGGAAAATCTTCACAACGTTGAGTTTGACAAGGGAGGAGGTATGTGTCCGTGCTTCTCTTTGGCCAAACCCTGTCCTCACAGCGCCCTTCCCTGTACTCCAGATGGGCTGGACAACAGCGCTCTGACTCATAGAGATGCTGGAATATCCCCATTACTAGACTGTTCTCTGTGGCTCTTAGGGTGTTGTGGGGGGGTTCCGTGAATTTCTGTGGAATGGATGAATGTACCGATGGGTATTTACCTCTGGGACATCCAGGCCTCAGGAACTGCGGCCTGGGCAGCGCTCTCGGCAACTCTGGATGTGTGCACATGGAGACCAGGATGTTCAGGCTGCTCAGCCTTCCACCCTCAGCTCGCGGGGTGGGGCTGACTGTTCAGGTCTGGCAGATCCTCCTCTGACAGCTGTCGACCTCTTCCTTGGTCTACCAGCTTCATCACCACGAATTGTGGGCGCCAGAACGTAGTGCTGCTTCTAAACCTAGCTTTGGATCAAGAATGCATTCACTGTTCTGCGGAGTGTCTTTGGGATCATACTTACTGAATTTTGGCCCCTTCTTGTGCCTCTTCCCCGTGTTCCTAAAAGAAAAAAAAAAAACTTTAAAGTACTTGGCACTAAGTGTGTTAGTCAGCTTTGCATTATAATAAATACCTGAGACACTCAACTGGGAAAGGGGACAGGTTTATTTATTTTGGCCCGTGGTTAGAGGGGTATTAATCTATGGTTGCTTGGCCCTGTTGCATTGGGACTATGGCGGAAGAAGATGTGGTAGCCAGGGACCTGTTGACGTCATGGTGTCCAGCCCTTCTCTTCCCCTGCCCTACCTCCCTTACTATATCTGCAACCTACCCCTTACCTCATTGATTTCAGGACAATGCCAATCACTTGCGTTTTGGCCTTAGATTTGAGGCTACTCTTGTAAGACTGGGAAGCACATTTCCCAGGATTCCCTGCTCTCTGGCTTCAGGACGTTACAACTGTTGAGAGGAATACGGAAGGCTCTTGAGAGGAAGGGGATATAGTAGGAGGCCATTCCTCCCTACTCTCCGCCCTAGCTCTGGTGAACAGAGGGAGCCTCCTTGGAACCCTCTGGGAAATCTGCTCCTGGGATTGGGCAGAATCATCTCCTCCTGTTATTCCTTGACCCCAAGGATGGAACTACGTTCTTGCTTCTCTTGAGGTTGCTCTTCCATTATCTTCGCAACCAATCCCTGCACCAAGTCAGCTCTGTTTAAGCATCAGAATTTGGCAAGTCCCACCTTAGTTGTAGGAAATATGGCTTTGGCTGTCAGTGCATAGCTGTGAGGTAACTCAAAGGGGGGAAAGAAAAAAAGAAAAAAAAAAGCCCTCACGTTTGCTTTGCAAATAAATCAATACCTCTCATCCTGCCCACATCTGAACTGGTAGAATTGTAAGCAATTCATTCTTACATTCTCCACCCCGCCCCCAAGATACTGTTGCAAAATATTTGTGTTTCTTTTGTTGCCTAGTTCATTTTATAAAAATTTCACAGCTCTCAATCAGAACAGCCATTGCTACACATAAGATAAAGTACGATTTTAAAAATAAACCGTATTTTTTAATGATTTATTAAACAGCATACCAGATCCTGCATGAATGTCAACTAACTAACTCTGGCATCTTGTGACATATTAGACAAATGCTCAGTACTTGTTTACAAAGTCGTATTACCCTGTCCAGTCATTAAATGAGAGAATATGTGTTTCGATATTTTTTGTAAAATAGTTCTGTCCTATGTTGCCTTCTTTTGCCTATTAGCTGAATAAAATAGCACCTATAAAACATTTTACAAGCTTTGTTTTTAAGTGAAAATGCTTTCTTTCTTTCTTTTTTTTTCTTTCTTTCTTCTTTCTTTTTTTTCGAGACACGGTTTCTCTGTAGCTTTGGAGCCTGTCCTGGAACTAGCTCTTGTAGACCAGGTTGGCCTTGAACTCACAGAGATCCTCCTGCCTCTGCCTCCCGAGTGCTGGGATTAAAGGTGAGCGCCACCACCACCCAACGTGAAAATGCTTTCTAGTTAGGCCTCTGGGATAGGTGAAACCAGATAATAATCTATAAAATTTTATTAGTCTTAAGACTTTGACCCAACAGCTATATGAGTACACTGTGAGTTTAAATTTAAACTTTAAAAATAATAAATAACCCTTCTTGTATAATTTGAATGAAATAGGAAAATGTATGAAAGATTGAAAGTCCCCTTTGCTTCCCACTAATTCTTTCCTCTCCATAGCTGTGAGTCCTCCTCTATGTGTCCAGATCATTGCCTGTGTGCATACATATTCATACACCCCTGGAGCCTGCATGGGCATTATTCTCTGTTTGTTTTATAATTAGATAAATGAGAATGAAGAACATACTCTGAAGACAGGGTTTTGTTTGTTAGTTTGTTGCTTTTTTTTTTCAGTGTCTTAGAAGGTGCTGTGTTACACATTGACTGTTAGTCCCCTCATCCTTTCGAGAAATGGAAGAGGTCCCTGCTGCGAGTTTCCTGCTGCTTCTTCCAGGCAGCAGGAGTCCTGGGAAGAGCTTAGGGCTCTGAGGCACCCTGGGCTTGACTGCCAGTGGGTGTCCTCTTAGGGTGTCAGCAGGGCTCTTAAAGTAGCTGTCCCCTACTGTCCCCTAGGAAAACCCAGGGCGTGGAAGTGACAAGCCAGCACCTGAGACCTTGTCTTCCCTTCCGCCATCCCCACAGTATAAAAGGTGACCTCATTTTAAGATGGCCTCTCAAGACCACAAAAGCAACTCTCTTTTATTTCCAGATGAACTTGGAAATAACTTACAAGATCCTTTAAGAACCCCAATAAATTTGTTTCTACAAAAATCCTATTCCTTAAGTGAGTTCTTTCCTGTGTTTATTCGTTAGGCCTGTCTACCACATGCTTGATTGCCTAGTTCTTACAAATAAGATACAATTAAAAAAAGGGGGGGGGAGTCAAGATTTGTAATGTTTGACTTTCATAACGCAGAGGACCAGGTAAATATTGAAAGGTGCTGATGGAAATGCATGACCTTGAGGGATTGAACAGGTGTTTTCTCATTATGAATTCTAGCCTGATCAAACTCTAAGCTTCAAGGTTGTGCTTACTCTAGCTCCAGCTCTGTTGGGAGAACCTGATTTAAGATAAGAAAGCGTAGCATTGATTTTATTTAACAATTTTGTTGAATGTTTTTAGTATTTTAAAGTGGAATCAAAAAGGAAAGTCAGTGACAGCTTGGATCGAAACTTCACCAAGTCTGACATCCAGAAACGTGGCTGGGAAATGTGGAAAGGGAGCCTGTATCCGAAGGCTCTGCTCCGAGGGATTACTGGTATAGATCTAGGACACTCAGGGGGGAGCAGCCTGGAGTAGCAGGTTAGGAAAGGGCTTTGGCGCTCCTCAGACAGAGAGACATCTGCCATGGAGGGTGACTAAGGGCCTTGATTAGCAGCTGGGGAGGTCTTTACCTGCTCCCACCCATTGAGAGCAGATGGCAGAAGCTGGTGAGCATCGGTGTTGGGCACTCCTGAGTTATCAGAATGCAAACTGGCAAAGAGCCAGACTCTGTGTATTCCCAAGTCCTAGCAGTTGAGCAGACCATTCCACAGTGGCTCCTGATGAGAACAGGGCTCGGGACCTGTCGTTTCTCAGAACAGGTGTCATAAATCTGCTAATCCTTTCTGCTTTCCTCCCTTGTGTGGAGGTCTTCTCAGATTAGTCCCCCAAAAGCGTCTGTGGTGGTCACCTGCATACCGCTCGGGTCAGGGTTCAAGGTGGAGGTGAGCCAGTCAGTGTTCGGAGACGCCTTAGTTCCCTAGTGCACATTCCAAATTCTCCTCTTGCTCTATTTTGACTGTTTAGAACACTTTTCCTTTTTGAGACAAAGATGCCTGTATCCGAGGCTGGTTTCTAAAGTGCTCTGTAACTAAGGTTGGCCTTTAGCTCTTGACCCTCCTGATTTCACCTCTTAAGTACTGGGATTCAAGTATGTACCAGCATACCCGGCTCTATTCGTTTTTAAAACTTTAAATAAAACCTCTCCCCCAAACAATTGTTCCTAAAAGAGAAAGAAAAGATGTTGACTGATGGTCTCCTCTGTCCCTCCGTCCCTCCCTCCCTCTCTCCCTCCCTCCCTCCCTCCCTCCCTCCCTCCCTCCCTCCCTTCCTCCCTCCATCCCTCCTTCCCGGACTAAGTTCCTTGAGCACAGATATCGACATCCCTGCATGGTCATCACTAATTGCGCCTCCAACAGTTAGATCAGGGCTTGATATACAGCTAATGCTCAATATATACTTCTTGAGTATGCATGAATATGGAGAGAACAATCCTGGATTGATATTTTAGACATCAAAGGGTGCATAACAGAACTACAGTTTTTTGTAAGCCCCAAGAGCAGACTCTGGATGGTTCAGCCTTGCCTTCCCCTTACACCCACAGTCTCCACAGTTGTTAAAGTGTGGGACAGTGTTCAACTGGCTTAACTTGCAGACTTCTAGTTGGGTGCCTTTGCTGGACTGGACATGACTGGCCTACTGCTGCAGATCGTATGGAAAGGCCATGGAATTAAATGACACGGATTGGTCTTGGGAGAAGGGACACAATCATCGCTTAGTTTAAAGCTTTTGCCTTGCAAGTTGTATAGACTAGAAAACACATTTTGTACTGCGCTTCATAATGTAAGTGAGTTCCATCCATGCCCAGCTGCTGTCTCCAACAGTAAAGCAATTAATGTTCCACGATGGGAAATATCAAAAGTGTAATCAAAGCAAGCTCACGGTCTGGCCTCCGCCATTGCAAAGCTGCACAGAGGGCCAGACCGTCCACCCAGCGCTGCTGGAATCGGAAGCAAAGGGGCGTGTTCCAGGGACTCAGCATCTTAGCTGGATGTGTGCTTCCCAGAGGCATTGCTACACTCTCACGGGCCTGAGGAGGCCGTGCTGGACAACTTCCTCCAGTCTACCAACTCTAGTCTCTAGGGATGGGCAAAATGAGCCAAAGTTTATTTCTAAAACTTCCTTTTCTGCAAGTCTATCCAGATGTCTGAGTTAAAGCCGCCATTCACAGCCATCATTTGCCCCAAGAACAGACACTGTGGGCGCGCTGATGTGTTTTGCTAACGTTCCTATTTCTAGCAGCCTGAATACTAGATGGATGTCATAGCTCTTGGTCTCCAAGTGGAATCTTCCTTGTGTCACCTGCTTTAACAGAGAGCCAAAACCCAACCCAAATTTGACTTTCCCCCCTTAATTGTTAGAGAGCTACATTTCATTACTTTAAACTAATTCAGTAGAAGATATCCACTCTTTGGAGTTAGCAACTTAAGTCTTCAGTTCTCTAGGCCCTTAAAGAGTCTCTGTGTTCAGCTGGTATCAGCCCTGTGGACAGCTTGCCCAGACGTATAAGGAAGCTAGGCATTACATGGTGAAGCCTTGGGCTTTTGGCGAGAGTTTGATTTCAAATTCTGGTTCTGTTACTCACAGCCCTGTCACTTTGCCAAGTGCTATCTCTTTAAGTCCACTTTCCAGATCTGGAAAAGGAAGGTGAAGCCACTGCCTGCCTCAGAGAGTCACTGTAAAAAATGTCTTTTTTTTTTTTTTTTTTTTTGTCAAACGTATTAAAGTATATAGTGATTAGCACAAAAAAGTTAAAACTATGGATAATGTTAGCTTGGATGGTTGGTAGTTATGAACTAGAAAAAGAGTATTCCATTTCTCTTCTTTCCCGGCAACCCACACAGTGGAGTTATGATTCCTTTCAGGGGTCTTCAGTCTGTATACGAGCTGTACGGAGCAAAGGATGCTTCTGGACCACAGCATGGGTACTTTTCAACCTGTGATGTTGTTACTCATTTTGCTAATGTCCTTTTAGCAACACTCTGCAGACTGAGATTTCATGTCGTTGCAGTGCTTACAAAGCCAGGAAGAAACCCAGTGAAAACAAATGTGCAGACGAAGAGAGACAAGAGCAAGTTCAAAAACTAAATTCTTGGCCTTAAGCCTTTAAAAAAAAAAAGCTAGAGTCTCATATATTTGTTTGTATAGACAGTAGCATGCTTTTAGTGAAATGTTTAAAATCTTTGAGGACACACATACAGCTTCTTCAAAGCCTTGCTGAAAAGCTAGGCATAAACAAATCCTCACTACAGACATATTTTCCAAGTCTTTTAAGCCAGTGAATACAAACACTACTTTATCTTCTATTTTCCTAGCCTCCCCATCAAATGAACAATCTCTCTCTCTCTCTCTCTCTCTCTCTCTCTCTCTCTCTCTCTCTCTCTCTCTCTCTCTCTCTT